ACATACATACACACACAGACAGGGTCGTCCCAATATGCGTTTTTGCAATTTGCGTATAGGCAAAAATACATAAAAATAGGTAGAAAAATTGTTATGACGAGGTAAGGTTAGTTTCGCATGTTTTTTCACGTTAACACACCGCAGCGGTTGCAGTTTATTGCAGAAACGCGTTACCATACAGGTTTTGCGGTGTGAGCTATACTGTAACAAATGTTGCAAATGCAACTTCTTCTCTAGCGATAATAAAAACTTCAGCGTTTCTAGGTAACTTTTATTCTAAAGTACGAAGTGGAAGATGATTGGGCCGCCGACCTTACGAATGTCGTCAAAGAAAAGTGGGTACCACAACTAGATCTGCTCGGTAAGTGTTTGATTGAAAATAATGTTTGCCGTTTCATAGCTACAGCATGGTACTGGGGAATGAAACTCCAGTGAGCTCTTACTTCGCTTTGGTACTATATTATTACTAGCATGTCCGATCGAGTCTGAGTCTAACAGCACTTTCGATTGCTCTTACTAACCGATTCCATCGTTTGCAGCATTTTCAAATGATGATTACTTGTATCTGAATCAAGTTACCGACTAAAGCCAGTTTTTATGTGTTTTTGCATTGCTGGTAAAAAACAGGAGTTGCTTGCATTTTGCCAGGATGATCTTTAACATAACTGGCACATCAACGAAAATTTGGACTCATGGACAAACCCGAAATTTTGATGCTCATGATCGAACCCAAACTCAACTGAGCGCCTGCTGCGCGACTCGAGCCAGCAGCCGGTTTAGAGTGAATATATCGTTTCCCCGCTTATAATATTACAGCTCAATTTTCCTAACATTATCCAACATACGCGGGTGCTGCATGAATAGGATTCACAGTGCCGATCTATGTCCAAGGAGAGGATACATCCGTCAATGCATAGAATAAATCATCCGATTAACCGATATTCCATTATTTCAAATTTCTTGACACTCTAATGTTGCAGAATTTAACGAAGGTCGAGGTCACGTATAACGAAGGATAGGACTTGAAGGATTACGTCATTTTGTTCTTACTGTATTTTTCAGAGGAACAAAGCTCTGCGCTCCCTATTATGTAGTTTGGCCGTTCTCAAATTACAACTGATTTTCATTTGTTCCTAACAGCGAAATTGAGATGAAAATTAAAAGTTGGCTCAAGATTCGAGATGCTGGAAACTGCCTGAGACTATGTTCGCAGAACTCCATTCCTTTCATCACACACAGTTGCTCTGTTTCCAAACCAAATTGAGCTTCCGGTTCATTTTTAGGGCATCCAAATTTACGCGCATTCGTATCGCACTGTGGCCAGAATAGTTTGACGGAAGCAGTGTACCAAGGTGTACCACTCGTCTGTGTGCCACTGTTCGGTGATCAGAAGCATAATACGCAGAAGGCAGTAAAGCGAAAAATCGCTGTTCACGTCGACAAGAGTGATTTGTCACCGGATACACTGAAGCGTGCATTCGGAAAAGTGCTTCACGACGCGATGTAAGCTTTTCTTATTCGTTTAGTAGTATTGGGTGCATTTTTTGTCCCCTTCTCCCTCCTCAGACGGAATTTTCCGCATGGAATTATTCAGTTTTTCGTGCCATGCGAACTACCAGGAATATTCAGCTTTACTCAGCCTTGTATTCCTTTACTGAGCCGATTGTAGCATTCAGGTTGATCTAGGGTGCCAAAGTAAGGAAGGTGTATAAGCAGAGGAAAAATAGTGGAAAAAAAACAATTGAATTAAGACGTTTCTGGTCCATTAAGTCATATATATCTTAGCTCAACACCACAACTGGACCTCGTCAGTACGACGGTCGTGGTGTTCAGGGAACAGGAGGAAAAGAAAGGAATATAAGAGAGAAGGAAAAAGAGATGAAAGAAGAAAAAGGGAAAAAGGAAGAGGAAGAAGAGAGAGAATGGAGTTTATTAATTATAAATTTAGAGTGATTAGGAGAAATAAAAAACGCTGAATTGATCCAGTGAGATCTGTAAAAATGCAGCCTGATGAATTCAACATATCATACAAAGGCTTTGTTGTAGCGCTTTGATTGCAGTTCAGTTTGCAGGGGCGTCTACTATTCAGCACTGAGGTGCTATGTGCCTTTTCCAGATAATGTGTCTGCAGAAAAACTGATTTCAATCAGTTAAAATTTAACTGGAGATTAGAAATGATACAAAAGCAAAAATTTATATACGTTGTGGCAGCTATTTCTATGGTGGATCGTAGTACGGGGTGGTGCTTTTATAATGGAAAACCAAATATATTTGGGTCCATTTGAGATGCAGCAAACAAACAGTTAGCAAATATTAAGGTATGACGCTTTGGGTCTGACGAATCAGACGACTTGCCAAGCAGTAGAGCGAGGTATCACATAACCTAACAGCAGAATTTCAATGGTAAGAACCGAGCTAACGATCATTGGTGTAGAGTCGAATATGGTGAGACGATGATGGTGCCGGAGTCGAGTCTGCCGCTGTTGATAGGTAACCAAGGTCCCAATGAAAAGAATGAGAAGTACAAAGGGGAGCAAGGTCCACCTCAATGTGACGTAATGGTTTGGTGGGGTTTTGCAGTGTAGCGAAAAGGTAATAAAAGGAGTAATAAGGAAACAGGAAATGGGGTGAGAGGACTAAAGCAAGAGATATCAGGAGATAAACGAAAATGTGAAAGGTTTTTGAGGGGATGAAAAACGGGAAGGATAAAAATTGGAGAAGGTGTACATGTTCAGGAATGCAACGGCATGACTGACTCATAGGCCAGGAAAATAAAAAAAAAAATTCTATATGATTCCATAATTGAAATTACATATTATTTACATAACGGCTTTGAGTGATAACATTTCATTATTGGAACACAAACAGCTTCATCAAGACTGTTGCAACGGTTAGTTGTAACATTGGAAAAACCTCACTATTTCAATTCTGTGCACTTACGTGTATAATCCATTTGGGATTGTCGTCAGGGAAGCAACTTCATGGTGAGTTAAAGCGGTCCACGGATGAGTTTAAAAGCAAACAAATTATTTGAAGAGGATTTTCAACACAGATAAAAGTAAATATCGAGAAGTGACAAGAAGTGCGCATTTTGATCGAAAATTGCAAATACAGAGAATGCTTTGTGATGTAGAAAAAAAAAATATTACAAAAAACATTGTGAACTCAGGTACCGCAAATCGTCGGAACGCCTACTTGAAATGATACGGCACAAGCCCTTCTCCTCACGTGAACGTCTGTTGAGGCATGTTGATTTCGCATCGAAATTTGGGCCGATCGACAGTTTTGACATCGCTGCCAATGACTTATCATTTGTGCAGTACTATTTGCTCGACATATTCATTCCTTTGCTCATTTTGATTGCTCTCACCGCTTTCTTATTACTTCGATTACTCATTATTATTGTGCGCAGGGTACTGGCGCAGTCAAAGGTAAAAAGCGAATAGAAATGGTTCAGAGAAAGGAAGAGAAGCGCCAGGGTATCGCAGAGTGAGTTGCTGAATCTGAGCTTTGACGGTGAATTAGTTAGGTTTGTTATTGGTTCACTTTTCCAAATCAGCATTGCTTCAGTACCTTTCTAATTCTTGTACTAATTGTATTTTGTCTAAAAATTTTCAGCTTTTGCTTTAAAACAGGTAAATCGAGCGAAAGGTTTCTTCCGCTTCACATCTCCTCTTGTTCCTGCCGTGGCCCCCTTAAGTAAGATGACGAGGAGATAATCGATTCTATGCCTGAAACTTCAGTTTCTGCGTTCTAACCGCTTAAACTTTAAGGACAAATAGCCCTCGCTGTATTTCCCCTCGCTTCCCCCGTCTTTCCGTTTCCTTCTTCTGCTTTCTCTCTCTTTCGCATCAAAGAAAACGCGCGTGTTAGCCAATTTTCAGGTAGCAAGACGCCAAGCTCGCCGGAGAGGTAATGCATTTTTGCGGTAAACTAAAAAACAGGAACTACATGAGTTTTTCGAACTTAAAAACAGTCGTCAACCACATGAGTTGTTGTTGCTTACATTTAACTTGCGCACTCACTCTCGTAAATTAACGTCAATTTTGCATGAAGAACCCAGGCTGGAACGCACCACGCTCTCCAGTGCAATCATGCGTTTTTGCATTAAACTCGCAGATCGCACGGACACCCAGGTGCATGATTACCGTTTTTTTGCATGAAGTCCGGTCGTTTTTTCGGTAAATGCTCGCTTTGTGAAAAAATGACAAATGC